TGGTAGAAGAAAGGTGGTGGAATACGGTGAATGGTGTTGGAGTAAAATAGTTTTAGCTCCATTTTCTTTTCTTTTCTTTCTTTTTGCCAAGTCTATCGCAATCTGCTGTTTACGTTTATGGTAGTTGTTCTCTTTAAGTGTGCTGCATCTTGCTGTCAAGTATATACCCAAATACCTGACCTTATTCGTGATTTGAATCTTCAGAGTTTCTGCCAATTCTTCGTTTTGTCTTTATTGCTCTTTCATCCTTCCCTCTTTCATCCTCCCCCCACTTCATTTGATGGCAGGATGCCTGTGAAGCGCCAGGCCGAAGCAGTCAGAGCTGAGAGCAACTTTATGCAAAACACAGAAGAAAGAATGGGAAGCCCAGAGCAGAAGAAATTAAAGGCAAAAAGAAAGAAAAGAAAAGAAAATGGAGCTAAAACTATTTTACTCCAACACCATTCACCGTATTCCACCACCTTTCTTCTACCACGTGGAGACCCCACTTCATGTATGGTCTTCTCTTCAGGATCTCCTCAACTCGTCCCACCATGACTTTGCCACTCTCCTCCTTCCTCTTGGCCCATTCACCCTTCCTTCTACGCCCTCAGATGTGGCATGGCATGATTAGCCTCTTTGTGGCAGAAGGAAGCCATGTAGATACGGAGGTTTTCTCATTGCTGCGCCCAGAAACGAAATCCATCTATCAGCCAGTGCTCCCAAATTTAAATTCTAGGGTTTTTCTTCTGTCTGCTCTGAGTCAACAGGAGCTGGGCCCTTCCCTTTGGGGCCTTGAAAAGCCCTTGATTGGTGTTGACCCAATGGAACCCTCTTGCTTGTAATTGGTTCCTACCCATCACCTTCATTCTTTCTGCCATCCACGCTTGCTGAGTAGTTCTTGGTGCTCTCCAAGTTTGGTGGTTTTCTCGCAGACATTTCATTGTCCAAACTGGGTACCATCATCAGTGCAGCCAAGCTCAGAGATCTCCCAGGAGCCCTCATTTCAACTCTGAGCTACAACTATTCTCCTCTGTCAGTACTTTCTGAGTAGTCCATTTCCACTCCCATGTCAACATCTCTCTCCTTCCTGACAGGTCCCTCACTTCCATACAGCGGAGTCACTTGATTGTGAGATGGGAAGCTATTGAAATAGGACAAATAAATAAACAGGCAGACGTGAGTTCTTGCCCCATTGGTAGCCAATGTTGCTTGTTTCAGCAGTCTCGCACCTTCACCCAGGCCACCCAGGCCTTTCCACTAACACTTATTTCATCATCATCATCTTGTAATGACCCCGTGATCCCTTGCATTGGGATGGAGTTTGGGCAACTGAATGGAACTGAGGCCGGATGCCCTTCCTGTCACCAATGCAAAGTTTTATTCAGCAGATATATTCTAGTGTGCCCAGAGAGAGAAATACCTGCCTCTACCTACGATTGAACTTATTTTGCCTGCTTTAAAATTGCTTTTCCCAGAGAAACTGAGAAGCCCAATCCCACAAGGCCATGTGCTTCATACTTAGATGTTATTACAACTCTGGGGCTGGCCAATGCCATTTTTGCTCCTGGATTCCCAAGCCATCTGTCCCCCCAGTAGCCTTCTGTCTTCTCTCCTAAACTTGCAGAGAAAAGGGGGATCTCAAGTCTCTTCCCCACCCCCAGGAATTCTGAATCAGCAAAGATCCCCAAAGTGGGGTCAGGGCAAAGTCTTTGCATCTCTCCCAGGGCTGGAGGGAGAGCAGAACAGAAGAAGCTGGCTCAGCCTTTGCTGGCTTGTGCTTGCGGGCTCCCCTTAGGTCAGCATCTCTGCAGCTCTTTCAAAATTTTATTAGGATTTGCCATGTTAAATCTTCAAGTAATTAAACTTGTGATGCAGCTTGCCTTAATTCCATTCCAGTGCATTTTATGTGATCGCTTTTTCTTACTAAAAGTCATAATTTTTGTTTTATGTCATAATTGATGCTCAGCTGCTTCTTGAAAACGGCCAAGTAAATGCTGCAATCACCTCTGCAAACCAATTTGCACACAAGGAATTAGAAGTGGATAATTAGAGCATAATTATCATGTAGCATGTCAGTTCTCTTCATCCGTCAATGGAAAGTGCCTGCTCTTTTCATATAATTGTGATGCTGCCCAGAGATAGGAAAGAGAAGAGCCAGCCCTCCTGTTCCAAAGCTGACCCGTCTCTGCAGGCACCCAGGGCCCATCTGTGGGGCAGAGCAGGCTGGGGCAACCGCCCTCACTCGCTCGTCAATCTTCAGACTTGAAAATCAGTCCTTGTCTCTGACTACATTCCACTCCAGCCTGCCGGTTAATTTATTTCGTGTCCAGATCAAACCACAAATTGTGAAAATGAGCCCACCTTTCTCATCTTGGCCAGAAAGAAATCACTTTTGGTGCATTCTACTGGTAGTAATTAACAGACCAATACATTGGCCAGACTCTGTGTTTCTCCACATTCGCAAAGCATTTTATTATCCACCAGCAACCTTCACTTGAGCATATTTATACTCACACTTAGGCCCACCTACCCTCGGCCTCTTCCAGGTCCTCTGAGTGACGTAGGTCAGATCCCTCAGCCAGGTTCCCTTCGGGGATTACAGGAACCTGTTGCTGCATTGCATTCTCTGCCGCTCTCCTTTTGGGCCAGGGGTGTGTGTGTGTCAGGCTAATGATTTAAGAGCTGACCAGCTGCTATGGTGATGTAATGCTGAGAATGAGTCAGCAAGGTTTTTGGGCTGATATCACTTTAAGAGCCTGTAATAAGAAGAGGCCTCTTTTGGGGCGTGTGTTTCTTCCTGCTGCAATTGTTGATTGCTATTGGTTTGAGGTCTGACTAAAGTACGTGTATGTATATATTCTTTGTAGATAAACCACTATTTAAATATAAACCTCTGTTTAATCAATTTGCTCCTGGGTTGTTTCTCATAGTCATGCTGTGCGCACTCTGACAGGGGGTTTAAAAGAACTTGATCTGTTTCTTTGGAATTCCCCGGCCCTTCTTTCCAAATACCCGGGAGAGAGTGCTGTTGGGCAAATAGAATTTAATGCGAACCAGTTGATTAAATCTCCCTCTTTCTGGAGATAACGAGAAAGGTTTCGAATCTTATCAGAAACATTCATGGCAGAATGCTGCAACTGCTGTCTCTAACAATGTTTCCGTCCCAGTCTCAGAAGAGGAATTAGGTCTTCTGTCTAAGTGTCAAAAGTGTGTCTCCTAAGTTCCCAAGTGTTGCTTTTCCCGACCTGCACTAAAAATGGCAAAGGGAAACAGGAATATTTCCGGGGTGGCCAGGAGCCTGAGGATCTTGCAGGGAGAGCTGTGGGGATGAGAGCAGCTTGGCTGGCAGAAGGCGGGACTGATTCCAGCTGCTCCTGGTTCATCCTGTTTCCACTTTTCTTTGACCATCTAGTGTCCGAGATCTGCTCTGCCCTGCCCTGCAGAAATCCTGCTCATACTTTGCTTCTTCAACAGGATGGTCCTTTCTTCTTAGGCTGGTGAAGCACCTGGTTGAAAATAGTCAATTCCTTTTGCCAAAATTGGGATTTCCAAGCGTCTCTCATGCTTGTTGCTTCCCATGGTGGATGCGCTTCGATAATTTCCAGTGCCATGGATATCGCACTGCAAGGAAGGGCTCCTTGTTTTTTGGTAGTGCAAAGTGGGAGTGGACAACAGCAGGTCTTGGTCCAGAGACCCCTCTGTGCTAGTCCCAGATAAATCTGGCCCAGAATCGAATTGCATTTGACAGACTGCAATTTGGATACCTGGGTTTGTACCAAGTCCTAAATTTGGGCTTCTTTCTACATAAAGCCTTAATTGTTTAGTAGTTCATTAGGACTTCTTAAATTAGAACAGACTTCTAACAGCATGGGAGGAATTTATCACCGTTCTAATTTCATTTTGCGATTCAGGTTGTACCATCTGCTGCTTCTCATATTTGTATTCAGTCTAGAATGAAGAGCCATTTTTAGGGTTCTTTTATAGGCAACATAAAAATATATGCATATAAAAGAATATCTGCAATTATTGAATGAAATATTGAAAATCCAAGAATACTTTAAATTCCTTAAAAGCCCTTCTTTATTCACCTGATTCTACTTTTTTCCCTATTGCTTGGGTTTTGTTCCTTTTCTGTTTATATCTTTTCTCTTATGATGTTCGACAAAATATAGTTTTGAAATTCAGCCAAAGAAAAAGAAAGAGAAAAGGGCAGACCATTTCTCAGGAATTGTGGCCTGCCGGGGCCTGGCTGAGAACCTGGGGGACAGGGGTGGGGGCAGCCAGCAGGCAGACAACGCAAGTCCAAGGGGAATACCTTCTGCCCAGGGAGACCCTCATTGCTGCAGGGCCGGACCCAGCACCCCTTTGAGGCAGGTGGGTCCTGGGGGAGGATGACCACATGGACGGCTGGGACAGTCTGTCCTCAGCCAGTATGGAGATGGTTGCTGCTCTTGTCCAGGCCAGAAGTGTCAAACTCAATTTCATTGAGGGCCTCATCAGGGTTGTGTTTGATCTCACGGGGCTGGGGGTGGTCAGGGGCATGGCCAGCTTGACGTCACTCATTGAGGCTCCATTTTTGGCCGTTTTGCCCGCAAAAACGGAGCACACAGCCTCCCTGTGTGTTTTCCTTCCCTTCTGTTTTCACAGGCAGAGAGCTGAGGAGGCTGTCGTGGCCAAAAACGGAGCCCGGGTGGGCCTTGCAGCTCACTTTTTGCTGGCAGAGGCAGTGTGGGCCAGTCCTTTGTTGTTTCCAGAGCGACCCCGTGGGCCAGATCTAAGCACTGTGCAATCAGATCCGGCCCCCAGGCCTTGAGTTTGACACTCCTGGTCCAGGCAGACCATCATTGGAGACGGTGGGTGGGGGAGACGAAGGTGGGCTTCAGGTCTCTCTTTTGTTGCTCTTCTTTCAAGGAATGTACCATGAAGGTCCAGGAGGGGAAGTTCAAGCTCCAGGATCTGCTGGTGGTGCCGATGCAGAGAGTCCTGAAGTATCACCTCCTGCTCAAAGTGAGTCATTCTCCACCTTCCAGGTGGATGGAAAATGCAGGTGGATTTCTGGAGAGGGCAGGTGGGCTTTGTTCGCTCTCAGGTCAGGATTATAGAATTGGAAGGGGTCTTGGAACACACACACACACACACACACACACA